CCCCAAAACCCCAAAACCCCAAAACCCCAAAACCCCAATTATTAACTGGAAGATTGAAATATTTAAAATGAGTTTCATAGAAATGGCCAATGAACACCAAAGAGGTACTTGCGTAAGTATTCTTTCAAAATATCTTCCCAACCCTGACGATATCTTTGGTATTATTTCTCTTATTTAGGAGCAGAAATCTGATCAAATCAAAACAATAGGGAGTTATGTGATACAGCAGCCTAAATATGACCTTGATGTATACAGGATGCCTTTCTTTGAATCAACAGTTAGCAAGAATTATAATCCCCTAGTAGATAGCCTCAAGAATAAATACGATAAAATTTACAACTCTGGAGTAGATTTGAAGTCAATAGAAAAGACTATGCTCGAAAATAACCTCCTGACTCAGCCTTCAGGGAGTACTTATCTCAATAAGTTTGACACAAGTCATTATAATGGCACTATTCTGAGTCCACGAACTGTTCAGAATGTTCAGCTAAGAGGGATTTTAAAATAACTCTAATGGTAAGAAAGTCAGTTGGATAGACAGTCCGAAAAATACCGCTCCACTATCTTCCCAGACAGTGCAGGCTTCAGCGTCTAGATTGACCCCTTCCCAGCTTTCGATGCCAATTGAGGAGGTTAATAAAAATCCTAAACCATATACAGGGGTTGAGTCTATTTCAGGAGTATATAAGCCTGCTGTTCTTCCTTCAAATAAATAAAACTGTCAAGTTAGGAAATACTTTCATTGCTCTCAATAACAAGCCTGATCCTGAAATCATTGACCAACTAGGAGGGATCACTAAGACTATTGATACGATGGAAGAAACTTTGAAAAGTCATGAGCTTCGTCCTTATGAATACTGAAAGGTTACTTATGAGCCATTTCTGGAACAACAATACCAAACATCTGGACTTTCAAATAAGCAGGTTAATAAGCATCCGGAAATTGACTCAGATTCTGCAAGTGAGTTTTTTGGAAGTGCTAGAAGTAAGTCATCCAATGCAGAAAAGCCTTCTTCTGCTAGAATCATGAGCTGATCTCCCTTTAGAGCATATAAGCAGTTAGATTAATTCAATCTTGTATATTGAATAAGGGGTTTTGGGGTTTTGGGGTTTTGGGGTTTTGGGG